CATCAACAACAAACATTTCATAGAATGAACAGCAACACAATGACTTGACTATTTTGTGTATTGTTTACTGATGTAAACAACCAGGATTGCCAGTAATTATCACCAAATGTGGCCTAAACAAGCACAAGAAACATGACCCCCATCCCACGATCCAACCTAATTAAAGCAGAACCAACAACTGAATTATCAACGAGATGACAGTTTACATGCTGGCCAGACAGAGAAATGATTTTTTTTAATAGAAATAAAAAATGTTTCAATGCAGTCTGAAGCATAACCTTGACAATTGATACTGCAATAAAAATGATACCAAGACTGAAAGAATTTGCTTTGAGATAAAAACTGAATAAATTATAGTTCCTATCAAATTTAAAAAATTTTTAACAGACCTTTACTTCAAAGCTTATTTCATATTCATAACTAATAACTATGTATGACCCTAATATATTATTATTATATTTATCAGATCACTATTGATATTATTCAGCAGTAACTTGTGTTTCAGACATTATAATGTCAAATAGAAGCATTGAAAGTTTGGTAATTTTGTAGCATCATTTTAAACTGGGTCAATAAGCCATTGACAGAATTCAGGAAGTGGAAGGAAATGAAACAATCTCTGACCATACTGCCCAAAACTAATTTAAGCATTTTAAGGGTGGGGACTTGTCCCTTAAAAGAAATCACAGATATGGACGACAATCAGTTATCAATTATGAAGGTTTAATTTGCAAGAGTTCAGAATCTTTCAGAAGGACGCCATTCATTGAAAGATACTAAATATAACACATTACATAATTTTCAAAAACCATACACAAACTCTTAAGAAGCTAAGAAAAAAAACCTCAATTTTCATATATCTCAAGATATCTTCTTCAAGAAAATGTAAATAAATTTTGAAAAATTATGCAAAGATTTTTTGACAAGACAACTACTTGAACTTTGCACAATTTAGGGGATAGGTATCATTTGGAAATTTATTTCTTCATAAAAAATTATATTTAGTCCATAGGAAATAAACCCAATTACATACAAGTGAACTTTTAAAATACAAGGGAAAACCTGGAAATCATTAATATTGCTTTCTTCTTTATGAATATCTGAAATTTTGTCAAAATCATAAGACACAAATACATCCTGATAATAAGAATCACTGGAGATGCTGAGTGGAGAAAAAGTGAGATAGAGAAAATATAAAATTGTGATTTAACTAAAAAATCCTATACATAACTAAACAATATTGATTGATTAATTGATGGATGGATAGATTGGTTTGCTATAACTTAACACTTTGCACACTATTTAAAATATTTTTAGATTGTAAGAATTTTTTTTGGAGATAATCTTACTAGTTAACCCATAGTAGATTCATACCTTTACCAAGGGTATTTGCATGCAAGTGAATATAACTAAATGTTATAATATGTTTTTATTGAAACAGGCGCTGAAAAATTCTCAGCCTTATGTGCTTCCTAATAGTTGGCCAAATGACCAAACATCAGAATTTTGAAGGGTAGAGGTTCTTGGTCAGGATGAGAATTTTTCAACATCCCTCAGAAGTTAGTTTGAACTAATTTCATCATTGGATTGATATTATTAAATTTGACTATTTCTTTTGCCATTTTTTGCAACTTTATTTTTAATCCTTAATAAAGAATGTAAATTTGAAATAAATGTAGAAACATCAAAGCACATTTCCCTTATACTTGGGAATTTTTTTTTTGATTCTTCATTTTTGACCTGCATTTCTTATGAGTGGGTGCTGAAATGTTCTTGGCATGACTCACTTTCTAAAATCTTAGCATTATTTTTTTTGCAATGTAGCTAAGCAGAGTATTCTATCAAAGGACCAATTTGCAGGTTCCTTGCACTTAATTCTGAATTTATTTTCAATCATTGATTGAACCTTATCAACAAAAAGTGTAGGATTTTCAAATGTTGAACTCCAGAAGAAAATTGCAAAGGAAATTCATGTTTCTATGATACAAACATGAGTGACAAGTACCCACTGTAGTAGATTTTGAAGAAGTAGTTTGCCAACACCGAAGATGCAGCCTAATCTGGAAAATCTTTAAGTGCCAACTCCTGAAATTGTTTTTTTTTTTCTTGTGCTCATGATCAAATTTTAGTTGATTGACAAATCTGAGCCAAAAGAATTGCTGAGACACTAAAGATATCCAGGGAATGAGTTGGGTTTATAATTTATGAGCAATTGGCTATGTTAAAAAAGTGAGTGCCACAAAGTTTGAATTCTGCTGAGAGATGATATTGAGTAAACATCTATCTTACACCTTTATAAATCTACCATTCATCTCTGCATTGAATATTGCTGTCATATATGGTCTGGTGCTTCTGCTATGCATCTACAGATTCTTGACAAAATCCAAAGAAGATACTATTTTTTTTTTTTTTTTTTTTACAATGATGTTCATCTTGTACAAGGCCCAAGAGCCACTTGATGTACAGGGTTACAGAGAAAGAGGCACTACTCCAAGCAAGATGATAATGCCACCGAGATACAGGGACCACCAGAAGACATCAGAAGGAACCAGAAACCCAATCCTAAACAGGAAACAAAGGATAAATGAAAAGATCAGGGAGGAGTGTGAACTGGACCATAGGCAAATCTATCTGATTTTATTGGATATGTTATTGATCCTGACCTGGCATCTCAGCTTCAGTTACTTTTTCACCACTATAATGTAGCTCCTCTGTTCTTTTTTTTATATTTTCATGATAATCGTTCTGATAAGCTTCCATCTTTGGGACCTGGTTTTCATGGGTTTAAGTGCAGTAGTAGATTGGCAACTAGGTCCCATCATTTTATCACTGAAATTGCTAGATGTAATCCTAAGATCAAAATAACAGTTTCTTCCATTGCACTTCTTGCTTGCGAAACTTCTCTGGCTTTTTGATTTCCTGTAAACTATGATCTTCAAAAATTGCAATCGACATTTTCTGTTTTTTTAAATCTTGTTCTTTTACTGTTCTTTCTCTTTGTATCATTTTCTCATTTCCCATCACTTTTAGTAACTGCTCAAATATTGAGTCTTAGTGGCTTTATCACCTTATATGGTGTGAAATGATAAAAAAAAATTGTTTTTGCAGCATTTTCAGTGTTCTAGAGAGAATTCTTTGGAATGGCTTGTCACTGCTGTTGAAACTGTCACACCACTATGATCTGGAGTCCAAATAACAGTCCATGCAGTAGAAGAAACTCATGGCTGAAGAAATTCAAAACCCAAAAGTCAGCACGAAAGGTCATGGCCACCATTTCTTTTGGATAAAAAGTATTATGATGACCATCTTCAGAAGGGACACACTTTGCTGATACAGTGTAACCTGGATACAGAGTTGTAACCTGAAGTCTCTTATATCCGGGTTTCTCTTATATCCGGGTTTGGTCTATTTTATATACATTAACACAGGCTCTAATTTGGGAGAAAAGTCTCTTATATCCGGGTTTTCTCTTATATCCGGGTTTGGTCTATTTTTATATACATTAACACAGGCTCTAATTTGGGACCAGAGAAAATCTCTCTTATCCGGGTTTCTCTTATATCCGGGTTTGGTCTATTTATATACATTAACACAGGCTCTAATTTGGGACCAGAGAAAATCTCTTATATCCGGGTTTCTCTTATATCTGGGTCTCTTATATCCGGGTTACACTGTAGTTATAAAAGTAGAATTACATGCTCCCTTGAAGCAGGATTCAACATTCCCAAAATACAACAGACAATACATAAAATGTGATAAAACTAAAAAGAGAAAGAAATTTATCCTATACAAATGATTAAACAAAGAAAAACTTTTTTTAGTTTTCAATGTACTAACAATGGCTTAATTATTGACATGTTCTATTTGTGCAGGGGCTAGAGTCAAACTATTGATCCATATTAAAAAAAAAAAAAAAAAAAAAATGGGATGGTTTTGTCACAACCCATGCCACCCAGATGTTTATCAATGTTTCTCTTATTCAGATTTGCATCTGCAGTTTATGAGTATATTAATTTTAGTGATTTCTTTTAATTTACTTTGATGACCTTGGAAACATTAAAAAGCTAAAGGTTCCCTGTGTCATCTGTGTCACAATAGACCAAATTATCTTTACTACCATTCCAAAACCTAAAAAATTAAAATGTCTCTGATCCTAAGGAGTTCAAATAAAAGATTATGTACTAATACAGGTTTGGGATTTTGTGTGTGTATGAGTGCAGGAGTATGAGTGAAAAGTGGTAGGTTCCTATTTAGAAAATCGAAAAGTTACATAACTCAACAAAATGAGTTTAAATAAAACCAACTACAGAGAGTTGTACTTAATCTGTATTAAAAATTCTGAATAAAAATATTCTTTACACTATTTACATTGTTTGGACTGTTGTCCTCATCTTTACTGTCATGTTAACAACATTTCAGCTGTTGTATGCTCCAGCCTTCTTCAGGTGATATTTGTTGGAATTTCAAACTGAACTCTTTTAGTCCATGAGGGTAGGTTATTCTAATTCCACGTACCATCCCTTTTGGACATCTCAGTTTTAGTTAATTCACCTCGATAACTCACCAAGTTTTTGTTCTCTTCACTGAGGCCAGGGATTGAACTCATAACTGGATCAAGTCATTTTTTTGGGATCAATCAACCAACACTGGGCCATGTGTCATTGACAGTAAAGATGAGGACAACAGTTCAAATATTGTAAATAATTAGAATCTGAGAAATATAGACAAAAATTTTCTTGTCTATTATTTTACTTGAAATATGGAACGTCTGCTTCAAGCTCTTAATGGTGTTACCACAATCCATAGTCCATAAAAACAGAAGAAATTTTTATTTGGGGGATTATCCACTTGACAAATGCTGAATAATAGATCAACTGAAGCATGATGGTAACAAAAGCAAGAAAGGAAAATGTTCTAATGGTAATTTGAAACAAAAATGATCACAAAATTTTGGTGTCAAATCATATATGGGATAATAAAAGAATAAGGAAGTCACTGAC